TGATTCTAAAGCACCGTCAACGGTGACGTTTGTTAGGATGTTGTAAGGACAAGTGTTTCTTTGAACCAATATGTTTTTTTTTCTTATTTTGCTTTGGAAGAACTTTCAGAGCAAGGAAGAACTTTCATAGCGAGGATTCCCTCATATTTTCCAAGTCTAGTTGTATCAGTCATGGGTAGAGAGGGCACTGGTCCATCTCAGGGCCACGTACTGTATGTAGATCAATCAATCAATCGATCAATCAGGTCAATTTAGAGTGACCACCCCAAAAGTACTAAAACAATCCAAACTCAAAAATAAAACCTTCAGACCAAAGCAATCATTTTCGAAGAAGGAATGGAGAGATATGTTTGTTATCTAAAGAACACCTAAAGTGAATTTTTTAAAAAAAAAGAAAGTCTTGTTCAATCTTGTTTGCCATTTTTTGACATGAAACCCATTGAAAAATAAGTAATGGAATGGATGGGAAGACCATTCAACATGGAAGAGCCTGGAAGGATGTGACAATAATAAATGGGCTAAGAAACCTGTGGTGACTTGTCTTGTCGAAGGGTTGAAAATCGTCATGTTGTGTAAACAGGAACACAGTGGACGAGGAGAACAGTGAGGTGGTACTGTAGTCACTCAAAAAAGTATATTTATATATATCTTTGCTCTGTATTTTGTTTGGAAGCTAATATTTTTTCCTTAACTCTGTGCTTAGTTTTTGGAAGTTTCTGAGGGACTTTTTTTTTTAAAGCAATTTGGAAACTTTTTTTCTTCAATGGAACGCTGATGCACTAAATCATACATGGAGGCTTCAGGCGTCGACTTCACAAAGAGCAATGTTGGCTGCCTTTTCTGTTTGTTCTCCATCCGTTTGTGTCAAATGAAACAATATCACAGATTGTAGTAGTCTGCTGCAATCATTTAGGAGGTTGCCGGCTGAACTTTGTTTTCATTCTGCACCGTAGGAGCTGAATTCGACTTGAATCAGAGTTGATTGTAGACGCTGCCCTCTGGTCTGTTCCACTCACTCATTAGTAATTCTTCAAATATTTAATTTCAGGGCAGGCGTGTCTTTGAGAGGATTGTGGTTAGCTGAATTTGTGAAGCTAAACCCATGATAATTACTGCACTAATTTGCAGCATTTGTGCTAAACCGATAAGGCGCTCTCTTTCATGGGATTCAGAGGGCGCCACCGGCAGAAAACTGCTCGGGGCAGAAGTGATTTAAAGCCCATTTCACACTTGGCTTATAACGAGAGTGATGGTCGGCGGTTCTCGCTTACACTCCGCTGCCACCGTGAGCACACGCTGGCCAGATCTGCTGGACTCTGGGCAAACAAACAAATGCAAACTTTTACTCTGAGACAAGCATACCACAGTAGTCCTATACTGTGAGGACTGCACTGTACTGTACTGCTCTCTACAATCTGGATGTATGATATATTAACAAACCATTTTTTTCTTTAGTTTGTTTTAGGGAGTAAGGAAATAGTATTAGTATTAAGGTTGGCAAACTTTCTCGAAATGCAACGAAAACATTTTTAAGGCCACGCACCTGAACCTTTATTGATTCAGTAGAAGGACAAAGAAAAGCCCCACAAATTACTTTTTCTCATCAAATACATTTTACTGTGACCTGCTAAAAAAAAAGGGACAGAAGTGAGTATTTTTTTAAATATACCCTTTACTTACATTGGAACAAAAAAAAATCTCTCTATTAATATATATATATGTATCATATTTCTTTTTGGATTTGCTCCAGTGCCCTGATCATTGGGTTTCACTACAGGCATTGATTTCTAAATGTGTTTTTTTTTTTTTTTTATAATATGTAAAAGTCAGTATATTCAGTGAAAACACAAATAATCTTCACTTTATGCCTTTGGCCTGAAAACCCAAAGTCCACCCACTGAACTAACCCACAACCCACGGAGTTCTAATTGCATTTACAAATTGGACCAGCTTCTGTGGAAATTCAGTTTTTATTTCTAACCGCTTCATGATGATTCCACTCAGGACTGAGGTGATTGACCTATCAGCTGACAGACATCACCATCTCATACCACGAGCGCCCACTAAATGAATGAATGGATGAATAATTGATTGAATGAATCGATGACAGTGAGAGAGTTTGAAGGTTGGAGAGAGCCGTTCTGTGAATGTCCCTGCTCTTTTAGCCTTCAGCCAACAAACCGGCGGGTCAGTGACTTCATTACCAGACTAATGGTACTGTGTGGAACAATGCACCCTGATGATCAACACAGGCCTCTGCTGATTAAATTCCCATTCCCTCGGTGTAAGCACTAATTATCTTGATTGACAAGCGGCTACAGGATCTGTATGAGCTCAGAGCTGCGGCTTCTCTCTCTCTGTACTCGTGCATATAGTGTTTTTGTGTAGGAGTCGAACACGGAGTATGTGACACTCTACAATAGGGAAACGCATGACGGCACCAAATTAACAGTTGGTACTTCTATTTCAAAGCCAAAACAAGTGGGTTTTTGCATGTGTTTAACAATGGTATGCATGTGTGGATGTGAAGATGAACCTTATAGGGTGGTTCATTGTTATTCAAGAATTTAAATCATCAATATATGAATAATAATAATAATAATAAACTATAACTATTGTAGAAATAACTCAGTTACCTTGTTTGGCATTCTGTAGCAGCAGCAGCAGCAGCAGCAGCAGCAGCAGCTGTGTTCGGCTGGTGTAAACCCAGTGTCGCTGCCTCATCCAGCACTAATTGACAGCTGGATAAAGTTCACCACCAGCTGATTAACATACTTAGCTATTTAGCAGCTACAGAGTGGGATTTTTACCTAAGAGCCAGCAAATGGTGTATACGTCATTAGCAGTTCCAGCTAATGATGCTGTGACTCTGCTGGAGTTGTCACCAGGTGACATGAATTAGTGGGTTTTTATTTTTATTTTTATAAAACCGCTCCTGCAGGTGGAGGTGGAAATGTTCACATGACATGTTGATAAATGCTACAGAAGCCGTTAAAACCTTTTTTTTATTTTTAAGCTCCAAGAGCTTTTCTTATTTTGGTCCACGGACTGTGTCAGTGCAGGTGACGCGTCGATAAAAGAATTCTGTGGTCACAGTGACTGGTGTCAGAGATGAGAGAATGACAGAGCAAAGAGGGAAATGATAGCATCCTCACATGGAGGTGAGAAAAGAACAGAGGAGATACTTTGAAAAAAGTGAAGTGTTTGTATTTTCTCTGATTTATATCTGTTCATTCCTATAACACGGTGGTTACCAAACGTTTTTGCACCACGGGTCTGTGTGTGAACGTCAAACCTGAACGCTAACATACAAACCTAGATGCTAACATACAAACCTAGATGCTAACACACAAACCTGAATGCTAACAGTTGTTGCAGTGGGCGTGGCTCCAAACCAAACCAATCATATCTTAATCTGTAGTCATGTAATAATATTAGGATAAAGTCAATTTCACAGCACAGTTTCCTTCTTGTTAAAACACAGTGTTGTCGTCTAACAGCAGTCGTCAGCGCTGACGTGTTAATTCAGTGAATTTGACCACAGCTCTAGCTCCGTTAGAAGATCAACCAAGCAGACAGAACGTAGCGTCTCTGAAGCCATTTTGATTTTAATCTGTATTGAAAAGAAACAGGAGCTCTTTGTAACACACACATATAACCCAGATGGCTATCTATGCATGAAGCAATAAACCAGTCCCACAGTGAGGAGCAGATAAATAGAAAGATACAACACAAATGTTGTTTTCCTGTGATTAGATTGTCCACATGGGTGAGATTCCACTCTCTCCCTCCAGGCACGCGGCTGCCTTGTGTTGTGCAGGATTTGGTTTTTTTCAAGGCTTTGGTTTTTTTTCGCGGCTGCCTTGTGTTGTGCAGGATTTTTTTTTTCAAGGCTTTGTTTTTTTAAAATAATTATTATATATATTTTTTTTTTCCCTTGCACCAAATTATATGAGCCTTTGAAGGTGTATATTTCATCAGACAATCAGATGAAAGGGCTTCAGGCCCGCTGGCAGAAATGGAGAACTGATTGTTCTGGACATGTCTTTGTCTGATGTCGGTACAATAGACACAGAGATAGGACATAATCTGAATAGACCTTCATCACTTCCTCATAGTGACATGGAGCCAACACAGTGCAGGAACTGGTCGCTTTGTTATGACAAGTCTGTAGTCCTCAGTGAAGTTCATAAAATATATGAAGTGACTGCAGCCGAGTTCATCTTTTTCTGTTTTGATCGTCATTTCTTTGCTGATGATGAGTTTTTTTTTTAGCTCTGTTCGCAGTAGAATGGACATGTTTCCATACTGGATTAATAACCCAACGTCCAACTGTTACGAGTTTACTGTTTGTGCAAAGTCACAGAGGAACAGATGTGCAGGGATTCAATCAGTACTTTGAATGACAGGACACCCAGAATGTTTCCTCTCAGACGGAGCAGATGTGGTGTGAAATTAAGTGTGAATTCTTTCGTCTGCACAAGGTTTTTTCTCTCTCTCGCTCTCTCGCGTCCTCACTCCTTATTCTCTTCCTTTGTCTGCCGGTCAAATCTTTCTTTAACCCTTTTCCGCAGATCTGAAAAGTAATGGTAACCAAACTAAAAAAACTAAAAAAAAAAAAACTTCTACTTTAACCCTTTTCCGCAGATCTGAAAAATAATGGTAACCAAACTAAAAAAAAAAAAACTTCTGGAAGATGAAACATCCATTTGTGTTTCTAAGTGACCTTTGAACATGAAAACCCTGCTTCAATCAGCTACGAACCATGTCTATTGAAGGGTCACGAAGGTTTGTGACCTTTAAAATATGGGTCCCGAAAAAAAATTTTTGCGAAACACTGGTCTACAGGACCCACTGCTGATCACAACACGGTGACATCCACTGTCTCCACACCTACAAGGCCAACAAGGCCTGTATCACCACTGTGTTCTTGGCTGCTGTTTCCCTGCCTCCCAGTCTGACTCTGCTCCCTCTTCTACTGTTTGCCTTGTTCATTTTAGCAGAAATTCCTCCTTATTGTTCGGCGTGATTGAGTCGGGAGCCTCAGACGAGCCGCGTGGCCTTCAGACAGAGAGGGACTCCAGTCACAGCTGGCGCGTGGCGCCGCAGTAATGAGCAAACATGACGAGATGAAAGTGGGTCTCATCTGCCGTGTGCCGCAGCCTCCGGAGGAACCTTGAGGAAAAAGGAAAATTTACAGGTATTTATGTGGTTCCATAACCATCAGTGACCATAATTACCACTTTGTTTATTCTGTCACTCGAAGACTGAAATCAAACACGACTACACAATTGTCACTCTCACCCAGCAGTCCTGTGAGATTGTGATTAACAAATTATCAGCTGGGTTTCCTGTCACTGGTCCAGAAACTCAGCTGCGTTGCCAAACTTCCAGAAACTTCATCTGTTTCCACCTTTAAAGAGACATAATAGGACACCAAGCTCCAAAGGCGGGTGGAAATAATTCATTTGGCTCTGATGTGGATTTTTAACCTAAAACAAGAATCTTCGAGAAGATAGAAAATATATATATTTATATAACAAGAATCTTCGAGAAGATAGAAAATTTATATATTTATATCTGTATATACTGTATATATACATATATATTTGATATGTATATATGTATATTTACATATGTATATATTTTAAACTGTCTTTCCTTTGAACTGTGTTTGGGCATATGTTAAGACTGTACATGTGATTTGATATGAACTATGAAGAGGAATCTTCCATATTTATAACACAGGAATGGAATTATTTTTTATTTTTTAAAGAAAACCAAAATCAGAAGAGACTCATTTTCATCCTCTGTGAGTACAGTGTATCAACTTGGCACAGTAACTCGCAGCAAAGTTAATATTACAAATCAGTCAGTGGCACAAATTAGAGCCAGAGGAAGGGAAAGAAAAGACGAAGTTACCAGTTATATTCATCAGACACAGCTGTGTTTGTCAGCTCAGTGAACAAAGATTTTTCAAAGATACAAATGACAGGAAATAAGAAAATAACATTTCCTGCTTTCATTGCCTAATATCAGAAGACCCTTGTAAAAATGAGACATGAGGAGAAATGGCACTTCTCCTTCTATTACTTCTATCCTTTTTTCTTTCTGATTTTTTACCTTTGGTTCTTCCTCCTCTTCTTAATGTTCTTGTTCATTTTCTTCCTCTAGTTTTTGCTCTTCTCCATCTACTTTTGTCTTCTTCTTCTTCCATTACTCCTTCCCCTCCTGTTTTTAGTCCAGACTTGTTGCGTTGTGGATCTGAATTCAGAATTCTTCCATATCTTAAATTAAAAAAGTCAACTGATCATTAAAAGGTTCTTTTTCTGTCCTTTGATTGTTTTCATCTCTACATGGATACAAATCAAATAAAACCAAATCCATTATTTAATCTGTATCAGCGGCTCCGTTGATCTCACTGTGATGAAAAAGCTGTGAGTTTTTTCCACGACAGTCTGTTGTTTACTCACAGACACTGACATTTTGTGAAACTAATTTCACAGTGTTTTTATTTTGGATTTAAATTAAAAATCATTTGTAGGATTTGGGGGATTTGTGCGATCTCCCCCTTTTTTCCTCACAGCCTGTGTTTAATTCTAATGATAATCACCTTCTGGCCACATTTGCCTACTTTTTAATGAGACGGCTTAGCAGTTATTCACACGACAACAGGGAGCTCACACAGAAGGATGTGTGTCAGTGTGTGCTCAGAGAAACGAATGACCTGGAACTGTCAGCTTTATTCTATTTTGATTAAAAATAACATAATAACATAAAAGATCTTTGATGCAATATTAAATTAACTTAAATAAAATAAAATAATAAAATGATCTTTGACGCAATATTAAATTAACTTTAAAAAATAAATAAAACAATAAAATTATTAAATAAATCCAACCAAGAAAATCTGGAATCAGGAAATATGGTACTACTACTACTACTACTACTACTACTACTACTACTACTACTATTGTACTACAACTACCACTACAACTGTACTAATGTAATAATAATAATAATAATAAACTTCAGTGAGTGCATAATTATCAAACTATGACATAAATATATAAAATAATCTAAAGTGCGACACCACTGATCAGTGTAGTTTGTGCATGTTTGAATATTGCACTTGTGTTTTCTCCCTGTCTCCCTCTCCAGCCTCCCTGAACATTCCTCCCCCGCTCCAGTCGGAGCAGGAAGCAGAGAGAAAGTGTATTTTTGTTCAATTAATGCTGTTCCTACACAGTTGCCACAGAGCTGTCACGCGGCTGTTGCACAGAAAGCCTCTCTGACTATTTCCCCAACTGTCGACCAACATTTCTAACAATTAGGTTTTTTACTTCAGAAAGTAAAAATAATTAACTCAGGCAGCGGTATTTGAGATGCCACACAAATATTCAATAACATTTTGTTTGTTGTAGCTCCACTTCAGCTGTTGTTCCCTCTTATTTAAAACAGCCGTGCGACTTTATTCCCCCTGGTATTTGCTTCTCTGCATTTCCTCTTCACAAATCATCACCTCGGCTCCTGCAACAGTTCTTCGGCGCTCGCTCTTATTCACACACAGTTGACACCAGTAAATATCTCATTGGGAGATTCACCCTCGCAATGAAATCAGTTTGAAATATCTCGGAGGAAATTAAACTGCAAAAACAATATTGATGCTGGTGTCCTTGTGTTCACCTCCGGCTCCTTTCTATAAATCAAGAGAATGAAAATCTCTCCCGGCTGTGCTGTCGTTGTCATGCGGCACTCGAGGGTGGAGTGTTGAACTGAAACGTGTCACAGACGCCGGTGGTTTCTGACTCTTCTTCAAACCCAGGAACTCTCTACATGTTAACCCTGAGCCCTGGGTGTTTTTCTGGCCACAGGTGGAATCATAATTAATCACAGCTCAGTCAGTCACTGTAGTAACTGTTGTGCCAGCAGCGAGTGATTTCATTTCAACAGTCTGTTGCTATAGCAACCACTACTCACACGTCAGAGTTTTGAACTTGATTATTTCTTCATTAGCTGTGTCTTTAAAGCTCTTAGTCACCGGTGTCCAGATGTGAACGGATTATTGCACGTGTTACTTCATTAACACCAAAGTCATTTCACCTTTGGTCGTTTCTCATCGTTTTACATGGACTGGTCGATGCTGCATGGAGTGATTTTTTTTGCTTCAGTCTCAATGATCTTTTCTCATAAAATAAAACTGGACCCTGTCAGGACCAGTCTTCATGTTGAACCACATTTCTGACACCCTTCGTTAGACTGACCTGTTTACTGCAGTGCCTTCAGCTCACAGTAGAACTCACCTTCCATCCACTCTGTCTATATATTAGATGGATGAACAGTTGACCAGTGAACTTCAGCTGGTATCCCTGGTCTTTCAGCAGGTGGGTTCAAGCCGTGGCTCTTTCTTGCTAAGTTGCACGTTCTTTATGGTGTGTGTTGGTTTTCTCCAATAACAGGCAGACGGGGGATTGGGTTCATTGTTGTCTTTTAATTGACCATACGTACCAGTGTGTGTGTGTGTGTGTGTGTGTGTGTGTGAATGGTTGTTTGTATCTGTTAGTGGCTCTGTGATGAACTGCTAAACTGTACAGGATGTACCCCACCCTCACCCAAACTGCTGGGATTGGCTCATTCTCCCCCCACATCTCAGAACAGCAGTAGGCAGTAAAGAATTGATGGATGGAATTTCCCTAAACAACATTTAAACTTCACAGAGACAAAACTCTTTATGACCCCAGGCTTTAGCCTTTGGAAATATGTCACTCCTGGGCTCTCACTTATTAAATGAAACACTACCGCTCAGCAAAAGACAGAGTTTTAAGGCAACATAGGTGAAGTGTTATATTTATTTACTTTTTCATATCATAAATATACTGTCGTTTGTGCTGCGAGTATTTTTCCCCATCATCCATTTTAAAGTTTCATAAAAAAAATATATTGAAAAAAGAACTGGATTAAGATTCTCTACAGGTGCTCACATCCACTTTATCGTCGCTCCTTCCCAAAGTTGCGGCTGTGTGCACGGACAGTTCAGTTTTGACTGATATAAGAGCCGAGCCGATGAGTTTTCCAGCTCGAGAGCCACTGACTCGCTCCGTTTGCTCCAAAAGCAATTTGTCCTGAAGATGCGGACCTTCTGTTTGGAGGAGACGTTGATGCACAGCCGGCGTTTCACAACAAGAACTGAGAGTGAAATTTAGACACAATCCCATTTTATCCCTTGCTCCTCTGATTTTGGCCTCAACCTTAACGCTGTTTATCACGTTTGTGTGTTGAGAGAAACACCGAGACAACAGTCGTCACACAAACAGAGATTCTTAATAAGAGAATGCTCCTATCACGAGGGATTTACTAGGAAGAACAGTTCAAGGCCATCGGAGATATTACTGTTTATCCAGTCTTATCCAGTTCTGACAATGGTTCCAACCATCACAAAGCTTTATTTGTCACATGACATTTTTCCACTTGCTCATTCAGGGATCACCACAGCAGATCCTCCGCCTCCATCTCACCCAATCATCTGCCTCCTCTACTTTTATACCTTCAGTCTCCATGCCTTTTTTCATGACGTTAATACATCTTCCTTATTCTTTCTTCTTCCTTTCCTTGATTTCCCAAAGGAACTCCCAAGGGATGGATTAAGTTCCATCCATCCATCCATCTCTGGAGATGGTCTCCCTCTTTTCCTTTTGCCTGACATCTTCATTCCCCACATCCAAAGAGTTTAGCTGTCAACTAGACTTTCTCTTGGTAGAGGTTTACCACTAATGAAACTTCTTTCTAGCTCCAAGAAAAAGTCCAGTTGATTACAACTAAACTCTTTGGATAACATGACCTGGATCAATGAGAATCTTCACAAACATCTCCCACATCATTTGTAGAATATATCCAGTCCTTGATGTCCTTGATGTCCTCTCTAACTTTATCTCCAAAGTCTCCACCTCAACTGTCCATCCTGGTCACTCCCAGTGAAGATCTCAGCATCATCTCTGCCTCCAGCTCAGCCACTGTCTCTGAACCATACATCACAGCAGGTCTCACTGCTGGCATATGAACCCTTCCTTTAAACTTTACTGCTATTCTCCTGTCCCCCCCCCCCCCCCCGACATTCGTCTTTATCCATTACACGCTCCCCGCTTTTGACACCTCACCTCTTCTGTGCTGACCTCTCTCTGCTCTTATGCATATAAATATAAA